ATGTGTATATATATATAGTTTAGAAAATAAACAAGAAGCTGTAGCCATTTGGTAAAGGGACAATGTCCTTCCTTCCTTCCTTCTTTCTTTCCTTCCTTCCTTCCTTCCTTCCTTCCTTCCTTCCTCCCTCCTTTCCTTCCCTCTCATTCCCCTCTTCCTGTTTGTCTATCTTGATTTTCATGTTCAGACTGGCCTCAAATTCATGACCCTCCACTCTGGGCCTCCTGAAGATACCAGGTCTAATATGGTAAAATTACATATTGAACTTCAGTTGTTTGAACTCTCTGCTAGAGTGGGCTGACTGGACTTGAAGCAGGGAAGGTTGCTTAGAGCATCATATAATTTAAAATTCTGGCTGTTTTCCAGGCGAATTAAGAGGACTCGAGGTCTGTAGCAGCATGGGAGACTGAAACCACTGAGATGGAACACCTTTTCTCTTGGTCCCCAAACTGTGAATCAATACCACTTTGACAACATGGTATTGTTGTCCTGTCATGCTTCTTATTCAACGAGTATATTTATTTGGTCCTCTGGCTATTTCTGCATTATAACTTTTTTGTTTGAATGGTGGTGGGACTTGAGACAGGGTTTCTCTGTGAAGGCCTGTAGACCAGGCTGGCCTTGAAATCACAGAGATCCTCCTGCCTCTGCCTCTGCCACCCTAGTGCTGGGATTTTGTTTCTGTGATATGATACTTTGTGTGAGTTGTGAACTGATTGTAATGTGGAATTTTTTCCAAGTCTCTATCACAATTATTTCTTGCGACACTTATAAAGCTAATCAGTTGGATAGCCAGAACTAATAATCAATCCTACAGTAAGAATGAATTTGGTACTACACACCTGCAATCCCAGTTCTCAGAAGGTGAAGACAGACAGATCAGCAGTTCAAGGTCACGCTCAGCCGCATAGCAAGCTTCGAGTTAGCCAGGGCTACAGGAGACCCTGTGTGCAAAAATGAACAAGTAAAAATGAATCTTTACTTTCTATTAGATCGCAGCAGCAGTACTCTGCCCAATTGCTATTTATTTCAGCTCTCCTCTGATGGTTTCCAGCAAGAAAACCTTCCCTTTCCTTCCCGTCCCAAATTGTCTTTGCTTGGTCACTGCCTGCTTGGGGAACGCCCGTCTGGGTTTAATCAGAAGTTACAAGACAAAATGTGCATTATTAAGAAATATAAATATTTTCAGAAGCAATTAAAGGGATGAAAGATTGATTCATCGTGTAGATTAGATGTAATTTGAAGCGGCTTGTTCTAATGAGAGCTACTGGGACCTAAAGTCAGGAGCTGGCTTGGCCACCAGTTAGAAATCCCAAGCATTCACAGTAGTAACTTGTAAGCGGTTCTCATTTCTGATATGCCCAGACACTTTTTTTTTTCTTGCCAATGTCTGGGCTAAAATTCCTTCCTTACTCTGCTTCGGGACTTATAACAGCCACCTTTGAGAAATCGTGACTAATTCTTTCTTCTCTTTAGCGCGTGTATAGAAGGGAGCACCTTCCATTTTACAACCCCGGAAGTTGGCTCAGCACTAACTTTCATAAAAACATTTTGGCCTGGAGGCGTCTGTATTACAATTTCTTTCCTTGGCTTAATAAAAGGTATCACATTATCTACCTGGCCAATCTCTATTGGCTTTTAAAATTGAGACATGGAAAAACCTAATAAGCCTCATCAGGATATCTGCTTTAAAACAGAACAAAACAAAACAAAAAAAACCATAACACACACATATGCACACACACACTCAGTCACTTACATACATAAAACCACCACCACCAACAACAACAACAACAAAAAACCCAGGCTGCCTCATTTAGCACATTTACTTGAAACATCCCAGCAGAGCTGGGTGGCCTGGACTTGAATACAGGTATCCTAATTTGAAATCTTTGTTTGTCTGGTAGTTCTGGGGGGGGAAAAAAAAGAGGGTCTCTGCCTAATATGTAGGTGGAATTTTAATACACAGGGGATCAAAACCTGATTGTTGTATTTTGTTTTTATTTTCTTTCTTTCTTCCCTTTAATCCCACCTTTTGTCCCCGTGGCTGCGTGTGAGAGATGGCTTGATTTTTCTAGGGAGGCTTCTCCCAACCACAGCTGGAAGTCCAAAGAGGACCGAAAATGTCTTTAAATCAACACAAGTCCAGGAGCCTGAGAGAACAAGTTTTCCTTTGTTATGGGGGATAGTATTATTTGCTGTAGGTTTTTTTTTTTGATATACATTCTAAATTAGGCCTGCAAAGGCATGCTTCATCTTTAATTCATCACTCTCAGCTGAAAGAGATTAGCAATGTCTAGCACGCACCCCTCGTATGGTGCTGACCTCATCAAGTATAGCCTGAAATTAATTAGCCTCATTCATTCCAAATGGACAAGGATAATGGAGCAGCAGCGGTCTTAGCGATGACCATCACACATTGTATGCGGCATGTTTAAAAGGCCTTGATTTTCAAGCCATGTAGATTAAAATTCTTTCCAGAGCTCACAACATGCCTGAGTTATCAAGGACCTAGAGCAGAGAGCCCTGTCGCTTTTGGACATGCGTGGTAGCGCATGTGGCTTGTATGTGCCACGGGTCTTTTGCCCGTTTCTGTTAGCTATGTCTGCGTTCTGGTTTGCCCTCCAGAATCACACCTGGAGTACTTGACCAGCAGAAAACCTGACGCTCAGTCCTGTGTGCACAGATCCGGTAGCCCTGTTAGCATGCTGAGTGCATGTCTTTGATTGCTACACAGAAGACACGGACAGAGAAAATGCTGCAGCTATTTCACCAAAATCCTTGTCAGTCTCTAATGTGGACACAGAACAGTTCCTTAAAGGAAGACTCAACTTTTCTATTTGGAGTTATTTTTGAAACTTCCAATGTCTTTTCCCAGTCTTTACTGTTTTGATCATATTTTAAAACATGACCGAGGATCAAGTTAGAAGAGCAAGTCCCTTCAATTTACCATCTTACTAAGATTAGCTTATTTTTTTTTCCCCTTCTGGGGATTGACTAAGAGAGGCCAAATTTTTGAATATCAAAATGGCTTTCTTTTTGAGCCAAAAAAATCTTGACTTGAGTTCTTTGGGATCCTCAAAGACATCGTAAACTTTATTTTTATGGACAGTACTTTGGGACTATAGATCAGAAGAAAGAACCCGTGACTTCTGTGTTTTTAGGTTTTAATTTTTAAATGGTAAGAAATATAGTCAGTTTCTGAAAAAGGTACCAGAAGCATTTTGGTGGCCGGGATCTTTATATAGTGTACATTTCTTAAGAAAAGAATTATCCTAGAATAACTTTGTCTGGCGAAATAAAGAAATAGATTTTCAGTGTAATTTAACAGCAAAACTTTCATTTAGTCAAACTTGCAGTTTTAGGGAAGTAATCTTTTCAGAGATGGTTGATGTACTAAGCTGCACGTGTGTTACTTAAGAGTATTTTGTCGTATGATACAACAAAAATTGGAAGTATGCGTTCCCTCTTCCTATAGACAGAAGAGGTACCCTTTTCTCCAAACTCACTCTTGCTCATTGTTTATGGCAGAAGCCGTTTCTTTCTACTGGCCAGTAATCGCCTATGTGCAGAAGCTCATCAATCAGTAACGGTGAACCTATCATTCGGATGTCAAAGATTTGCCTTTAGATCTTCCCAAACCTCTGGCACATGATTGGAGGAAATTAGCTTAAAGTCTGGGCTTCTGCTCTCTAGAGGAATAAGAAGTAAAAGAGGAGGGAAGATTAACTTATACAAGTTTGATGTTACAGTCACAGTTTAGCAGAGCCTGGGATCAGCAATGGCGTACTGATGACCTGCAAAGGTCGAGAGAAATAGGTAAATCGCAAATTATCATCTAGTCAACTTGGAATGTCTTGATGAATAAAAGCAACTGTAAATAATGAGAGAGATTTGGCGGCAGTCCTCACTGAAACACGTGCCATGAAACATATTTTGCTAATAGTAAAAATGAAATTATATTTACTATCGAGACAAGGGGATGCAAGCATTCTGCACACTGTTTAAATAAAGTGCCTCTCACATTTTCCTGAAGCTATTATATTTTTTTTTGAATCAACAGAGGTGAAGATAGCAGACATGCTCTAAACGCAAGGGTTAGCGTTATGAAATGTGAGTTCATTCAAATGACAAACTCAAAGCAAGATTCAGATGGACTTACCAGATCTCAATTGGTGCCCAGGAAAACCACAAATCTTTAACCTTCCAGCATTCGAAAGTGGAAGAGGGAGGCATTAAAATGTAAACAAGCGTGGGAATACCCGTACCTCAACTCACTGCCTTTGGGGTAAGCTGCAGTTCCTGTTTGGGTTCACAAGGAAACCTTGAGCCAAAGATGAATAGAAGTTAGCTTAGGCTAGACGGAACTGAAAGGTGTTTTTAGAATGTCTGTCTTAGTTTTTCTTTCCTGAAATTCATCTGGAGATGAAGATAAGGACAGTAGAAGAAGAGAACTTTCAGTGATGTGTATGGAAACAGCCAAAGGGGAAGAACAGGAGAGAGAGTTCTAGCCTTTGAGTTGGTAAATAATCTTGTCTTTTTTTTGTTTGTTTGTTTCTGAGATACGAGGACTGGAACCCAGGACTTTGCACACCTCAGGTGATCTTTCTGCCATAGAGCAAAACCTCCAGTCAACAGAGCAGTTTTCAGCAAAGAGAACATGAATGAAAAATTGTCAGCTAACATCTGAAGGACGCTTCATGAGCCCAGGCCCTGTGTTAAGCTGTGCATTAAGGTAACTTGGTTTTTTACCTCGGATGTCAGGAAAGTGTTACGACTTCCACTCTTCAGGTGATGACGATTGGGGATGCTATCCAAGCTGCTCAAGGTCACACTGTTTATAAAAATGACCGGATCCAGCATGTCCCATTCTGTGTCTCCGTGCTTAGATCCAATATGTCTAGTGCTAGACTGCTTGTCAAGAGAAAATGTAATCATATTGTTGGAGAAATGAATGGCTGTAGACTATGCATGGGAGTGAACTTCCAATTTCTGGACAACTAAAGGCAATAGGAAGCACCGATAACATTTTCTGGGGGGGGGGAACCCAAAGAGAGGAGAGTGTGTCCTGTCTCATATTCTGGTCTCTCAGGTCAGAAGGTAGGGGTTTCCCAGTCCTCCCACAAATCTCTGGTCTTCTATCTGACAAGTTGAATTAGATATAGGAGAGAGAGAGAGAGAGAGAGAGAGAGAGAGAGAGAGAGAGAGAGAGAGAGAGAGAGAGAGAGAGAGAGAGGATTGAGAAATAGAATGGAATTTGAAGAAAAAGTCAAGACATTGACTTGGAATCAAAGATGAAGAGAAGCGAAAGAGCAGTCTCCTCCTAAGCAATGATTAGCAGAGACTTTGACTACATGTTCTGGAGATAATTAACAGAAAAATGTGACAAGGGAAGTTTTGAAGAAGCAAAAAGGAAGGCGTGAGAGGGAAAGAAAAAGAAAGTAAGAAAGAAAACAAGAAAAAGAAAAATTAAAGGCACTCTGAGCTTTTGTTACTGACTTGAGAGATACAAAAAAAGCTATGCTGTTTATTTATTTATTTATAGCTTTTTCATATTGAATTCTAAGCTAAAGATTTCCCAGCATAAAGAAAATTTCATTTCTTGTGTTTCATAGGTAGCTGCACTACCAAATCTGCTATGCAAATGCTTTGTATCATATGGTAATACATGAAGTGTCCTTATATCTCTTATGGCCCATAACTTCTATCTCTTTTAATGTTCCACTGAATGGGCAAGGTATATGTAATTGTCTCTGCTTTGTAGAGGCCTTTGTGAGGTTCTGTAGCCTGCCCTCTACAAGACAGCTTAAATCACGAAAGAGACCATCCCAATCTTTTGCCAGGACTGCTGTCCTCACAGAACATGAGAGGCATAATTTTAGCCTGAAAATGACGTCAGGGAACAGCTGGTTTAGGCTAGCGTCATGATGTCATGATGGTGCACACTGGTAACAATATATTATTCTGGGTTGAAGTTCTGTCTTGCTCGGAAACCTGCCTGTTGTCTTGCAGGTGGTGTTCACTCTGCGAGACTCAGCCAAATCTGTTCATGTAGATTAAACATGCTTCCTTCCACTCGTGACGATGGGGGACCAAAGAGAGAGGGGATGAACATAAGAAAATATGGTGGAACTCTGCAAAGAGGCTTCTGTGTTTCCTGTGTATCTACCTGGTGGTTTCCAGGGACCTTAGAGTTGAGGAACAGACTGAATTCACACTCCAAACTGTTCTCTGTCAATTGAGAAAAGTTCCAGATTTTTTAAAACAGCACGCAACACTTCTATCTGGAAAGGGGTAACAGCATTTGGGACCAATTACCTAGATTAGGAGGCCACAGAAATCTGTTTACACTTTGTAGCCCAGGGCCCTCTGGCTCTGGTCCACAAGCTGGAGAATGTAACCGGCAGGAACTCCAGACTGACGTTGTCTTCCCCCTTGACCTCTGTGTCTGACCAGAGAAAGGCAGGTAGAAAAAGCCCTCTTGTCCCTTGCCTGAGATATCCAGCAAGTAGGTCACAAACTATTGTCTTCCAGGTAAAGGAGATGACACAGAGGTCCCCTGTAGTGATGACATGGGTTCATCACTCAGTGCAGTGAGTATTGTGTCAGGGTGTGGATTTTTGGCTTGATGCTCCTCAAAACTGATCATTGGCAAAAGAAATTAGGTATAGTAGTCTCCTGCCATCTTTTGTTTAATGACCACAACACTTTGATTTAACTTTGTTTTTGAAGACGTTACAGATTAGTCAGTGGCCAAGGGTAGGTAGTACTATTATCACCATGAAGACTGTGCCAAACAGAGTGTGCCTAGAAATAAATGGTAGCAAATTGGAGATATTATTATTATTATTATTATTATTATTATTATTATTATTATTATTATTATTATTATTATTGAGACAAGGTCTCATTATGTAGCATTGGCTGGCCTGGAAATTGCTATGCAGACCAGGTATACTTTGAACTCACAGAGATCTGACTGCCTTTGCCTCCCAAGTGCTCAGAACATGACCACCACTATGCTTAGCAAATATAGCTATCTTGACCAAAATAGAATCTTCTAGAACATTCGGTCTAAACTCTTCAGAGTACAAAATGTACTTGTTTTTCAGAACTCTGGTGCTTTCAAAATCGTTTGAAGTTACTTATCTTTCCTTGACATAATCCTGAGGCTAGTGGCTTGCCCTTGCCTGTTGAAATGTCCACAGAGGTGAAGAAGGTGTGAAGAATGAGGGGTGCCCATCTTACAAGAGCCAGTCTGCCAACTGGAGCAGGGCTGAGGAGGCAGACACAGTTTCACCTGTGGTCAGAATGCCTGTGTGCATCGTTTAAGCCAGATCACACTAAATCCTATTGGTAGGCTGGTAAATTGAAAATAACCACAGGTAGGGGCTGGGGTCTTTTTTCTAAAGTTCTCTCTCTCTCTCTCTCTCTCTCTCTCTCTCTCTCTCTCTCTCTCTCTCCCCCCCCCCCCCCCCCCCCCCCCCCCCCGCCTCAAAGCCAGCAACTTTGTGGTCTAGGCATGGTGGCACACAGCTTCAATCCCAACATTCTGGGGGCAGAGACAGACACTTCTCAGTTATTTCACAGCCTGTCTCGTCTACCCAGCAAGTTCCAGGCTAGCCATTGTTACATAGTGTGACTCTGTCTCAGATATTGTGGCGGGGGGGTGGGGGTGGGGGAGATGAGAGAGAGAGAGAGAGAATATGAATGGGGAAAACCTTTTGGGATAGATTCTCATGTTCTGCCTCATTGATACAGGGTCTCTCTTGTTTCTGTACTGCTGGCTAGATGTTTGGGTGATTCTTCTGCCCATCTTACTCTAAGAGTGCACCCACCTTTTTACATGGGAATTAGTCAAGCACGCTATCTGCTGAGCCACCTCCCCAGTCCTCTGAAATCCTTTAGAAGGACTTAGACGAGGACCTGGAGGGATGGGTTATAGTGAGGAAGAGAGCTTTTTGCTCCGCGAGGGAACCCAGCACCCACGTGGGATAGTAGCTCACAACTGCCCGTAAATCCAACTCTAGGAGCGGTTTCCAAAGCCTATGCCCTCTGCAGGCACGTGCACACAGGTGCACATATCCTCTTACAGCACGGACGTGCACATACATAATTAAATCTAATAAAAATAAATCCCGATATAAAGAACTTAGATTGACCCTGTGGCGTGGACTCTTGGAGGCATTCTGGTCCCATCATCCAGTGACCCTGAGGGCAACTAAGAGACAGCGCCACTCCACCCCTTCACACCTTAACACGAAACTGGCTACAAGACCCCATCTTCTTCTATGTTGAATTTCCCTGATCCTGGCTTATCTCAACCATTTCCCATTTTCGACAATGTCAGAGCCTCTGACACTCACAATTAGCTTCCAAATTAGCTTAGAAATGATAGTAAGCGCTCAGCTAAATGATAGGGTGGCCACTGGGGACCAGACCAATTTCCTAGAATAAGGTTAGGACCAAGTTGCTGTGGAGCGATGCTAAGGTGGACCCTGCCGACGTGCCTGCTCTGATGGCAGCAGGGATTCCCTCTGACACTAGAGATAACATCTATAGCTCTACGTGGTTAGTTGGCATGCTAATATTCCCTTACCTGGAGGACAGACAATCTTGAAGTAATGTTTTTGTTTGGATTTAAGGTTCTATCACAGAATGAAGAAGGTGCGGACACTTACCCGTGGGTGGAGGCTTGGAGGACATTGTTCAGGTTCCTGCTGAAGCCAGAGTTCTGGAGATAGACGGCTGGTCAAGGAAATGAAGGTAGAGTTTGTGAATTGCAGATTCCAAGCAGGTGACATACATGCATGAAGGCCTGGACCACAGCCACTAGGGAGACAGAGGGGGAAGTTTCCTGTCCTAGAGTCCCCATTCTTCCAATAGCTTGTGTTTTGAAGGCTTTGATTGTATATGGGAGCAGAAGTCACACTGGGTTGGATTCTAACCTCAGAGCCATCAGAGTTGCTTCTCCCTAGGAGAAAATTTCCAGTATTTAAGAATAACAGACACACCCCTCACCCCACTACTTTTGTTTCACTGGGTCCACTCCCTAACTCCCCTAGAGCTAGACCTCCACCTTCCCTGAGTTGGCCTGGGTTGCCAGAGTACCTTAAGAGGGCTAGTGAAAAAGACAAAACACTCAGAACTTCTGTGACTGTCACAGACAGTGTGCCATTACTGGCTTTAAACAGAGCCTCTCATGGGGAAGAACCCCCGCATCCTGGAGTCAGATGCCAATCAACTTGGGCATGTACAGGGGATTTAATGCTTTTAAGGATGTTTCATGTTTATCCCCATTAAATTTCGGTTTGCTCTGGCCTTTTGAGAGCTTCTAGAATCTATCACTCTCATCTGCTGCTGCTTTACCGACTGACTAACACTAATTTTCCCCCATAGTTTTGCTCAATTACTGAACTAAATTTGGAGCCTATCGGGGTTTCTGGCATTTCCAGTGCTTTTATGGTAAAAAAAAAAAAAAAAAAACACACATTGATTCTGTTTGCTCTTAAGTGGTGCTTAACAGAATATTTTCCAAAGTGAGATTTGCTTGGATCTAAATGCTAGCCTTGCCGATACACCATGTGTGTGAGCATCCTAATTTATGTGGGACTCAGTTTCTTCGTTTGTAAAATGAGATACCGGTAGAAGTAGTGTCTACAGTTATTTTAATAATCAAATGAATTAACACATACGAAACACGTACATACATGATGTGCATTATTTATTATAAAGGTCAGATGAATTGAGACTGAAACCTAAGAGTGAGGTCACCGTCTTGTTTACAGCTATCTTCTGAAAGCTGAAGAAACGTATTTGCCGTCAATAGGCTGAGCTTTTGAACAAATAATTTCCATAATGATAGCAACAGGTAATCTACTCAGCTCAGTAGTTTCTAATGCTAACAGATATTCAGTGTGTTAATACACAAACAAATAAACCAACCACCCAATCAATCACTGTATCCATCACTCTTGGGCCAGAGAGACAACTCAGAAGGTAACGGTGTTTACTGCTGGCTCAACTTGGGACCAGCATGGTGCAAGAAGCGAACAGACTCCCATGGGTTATTTTTGGATATCCACACATGCACTATGGCTCATGTGCATGGACACACACACGCACACTCATAGGAAAGAAAATTTTAAAAAAGTAATAACTAAGAGTTAATCTTGGCCATGGAAAGAGCAGTGTATATATTGAATATTGGGCCGCCTCCATGGTAAATTTTTTTCCCTGTGAGATAGCACCAGTGGGGGCCTGTACTAGCTAGACAAGTGCTCTACCGTTGAGCTATGTTCCCAGCCTCAAACCGAGGATCTTCATCAAGGCTAAAATATTGTGTTTCTGTTCGGCTAAGGAAACCAGAAAAGTCCTGCTTGCAAGTCCAGTCTGAATTCAGAGAGGGAGAAACGCATTCGGCTCAGTCTGTGCCTGTAGCAGGCTGAGCAAAAATGCTAGGTATTTTTAACATGAAAAAGACCTGAACGAGAATGCTAGTCGTTTGCAGATCTTCATTTTGCTTAAACGTTGTACATTTCTAGGCCATAGGAAGACTCACTTAAAAAAAAAATTCCTGGAAGAAAACTGTTCAAAGTGTCATCTACCACGTGGGCGGCTCTGCTCTGTCCTCTCCATAAACACCACCAGCGAAGCGGCCACACTGGGAGTTCCTGAGTAAGTCCGTGGCAGTACAATGCTCCCTTGCGTCACAGCTGCGAGCTAAATCAAGTTCTCCTCAGGCTAGACATTTTGGTCTGTGGGAGACAGCCTTCCCAGGCGGATCTTGTTGAACTCCCGTCCTTGCTAATTTAGGTACAGGTTGGGTATTTCTCTATTAATACAGCGCAGCTCAAAGAATGAGACCCCCTTGTATGTGTTTAGTAGGTCCGCCCCCACCCCCATGTTCTCACCTGCTGTGCGGCCTGGGAGGATCTTTGCCATGGAAGCAGAGGCCACAGGGAACACGATACACAGTTGTTGTGTGTGGAACGCGCTAATGCTTTTGACAGCAGCCACCTGAAAGGGGTGTAGCAAGTCATTTGAAAGTTGTACACAGACTGCCCTATCCATTACACTCACCCATATCATACCCATAATCTCCAAGGGCAGAGATGCTATTACACTCAGCGGGCCAAGATCTTCTGAGCTTACACGCACCCAGCTCCCCACCGACTCCGCCGTGGAGGGGCTTCCGTGGGAGTTTTCGGCAGAATACATTCAGTTCCAGTTCAGTCCCGACCACAGAAGGCCCGGCTAAAGAGAGAGACCTGGCCGCGTGTTAAAAAGGCTGAAGGAGAACAAAAAAGTTGCCAGTTTTCACAAGCAACCTTGTCCCTGGAGCGTTAAGAACTGTAGTTGGATACTCACCACCCTCTTTCTCCTTGTCCCGCCACCTGTGGACTCCAGGCCTTGACCAGAAACAGCTGAAACAGTCACATTTAAAAAAAAAAAAAAAAAAAAAAAAAAAAAAAAAAAAAAAAAAAACGCTGGGTTCTTGACTCTAAAATGGACAGAGTTCATTTAAAAAAAAAAAACCGAAATGAATAATCCAACATAGAACCATAGGCATTTTGCGCAGTTTCCTTTAGGAAAGTTCTGCTTGATCATTGCTAAGGGAAACCGGCACAGGCAACTCCTGGAGAGTTCTCTTCACAGATGCAACCATGTATTTCTTTCCCCCCCCCCCTCCCCCCGTGGATCAGGTTTATTTTTTTAAATAAACAGATTTTAAGACAATCACACATTGATTTTTACAAAGCGGCTAAAGTGAAACATTTGCCTCAGATATCACAGGGAATCAATAGAGCTGTACTTTAGTACCCGGGACTCCATCACTGATAGAGATCATCGGGACTCATATACCACACTTCGGTGGCGATTCAGACTATTTTCAAGAGGCTGCAGAGATGCCTCAGAGGTTAGAGTACCTGCTGCTCTTGCAGAGGACCCAGGTTTGGTTCCCAGCACCCACGTGGCAGCTCACGACCATCTTTTACTCCAGTTCCAGGGGTTCCAATGCCCTTTCCTGACCTCCATGGCCACTGCACATACGTAGCATATATACATTTATCCCCCACCCATACAAATAAAATAGAAACAAATCTTTAAAACATTATCTCAAAGTGAAAAGAGTTATCAAATATACTATTATATTTTGGTATTAGATATACAAATATCTAATCACAGTTTATCTGAAATTTTGACAAAGGTGCTTTACATTTCTAAATGTTAAAGATGTTATGTGTTTGTCTAAAACAAAAGTCATATGCATCTTACTTTGCATGTTGACAATACCGTTCCAAGAAGGGCCCATAAAGTTCAATAGAATCCTACAGGGCTCTGTGAGACTAGGAAGGTTAAGCTTCTTCACTTAGAATATACGGTATCCATGTACACATTCATAGACTATTTTATTTCATAGCCCCCACCAATGGTTGATTTAGGATGCTGGTTCTACAGGTAATGAACGGTATGTCTACAAAGACTGGGGGTGGACACTGTAGCTGTTGACAGCAAAATTGGCTGCACCGTTCGTCCTTTAGATGGTTGGTGAACAGCCATGCGGACATGCATTTCTTTTAAAAACGAAAGTAATCACTCAAACTAGTATGTTTGCAGAAGGCACTTTCAGTGTGTGTGTGTGTGTGTGTGTGTGTGTGTGTGTGTGAGAGAGAGAGAGAGAGAGAGAGAGAGAGAGAGAGAGAGAAACAGACAGAGAGAGACAGAGAGAGAGACAAAGAGAGATTGGTGATCGTAATGTGGCCATTTCTATTTGTATAATAAAGCCAGCAGGAATAGAACCCATGGACCAGCATGATGGTTCAGCAAGTAAAGCCGCCAAACCTATTGACAGGATTCTAATCCCCAGGATCCACAAAACGGAAATAGAGAACTGACTTCTGCACACTGTCCTTTAGCCTTCCTGTGCATGTGCTTGACATGAGTGCCCCTCGCAACCCCACTCACAAGCTAAATAAATAAGATAAATAAAATGTACTTAATATTTTTTTAAAACAAAAAGGCAGGTTTACTCTGACCATAAATTCAGGAGATCAACCTCTAAATGAGAGGTAAAGTTGACGAACCTCTCTCTAAGACTATCTATGCAATGCCAACAATGCCAAGTTCACAAGTGATGCTAAGTTCTTTAGTTATATCTTATCAACCGAGCAGAAAAATATTAAAGAAGAAATCTGTACTCCGCTTCTCACCTCACATCCATACATGTTTACTTAGACTCTCAAGTTCTGCCTGATTTTTTTGTGCATCTAGCCTAAGAGAAATCCTCGAGAAAAATAAGGTACCCTCCTGCTTTTTGTTCATGTTTTGCCCCAATTTTTGGTGTCCCTTCATTCTCCCCTGCTTGTAATATCACAGGAGTGTACTAGCTGCTGCAAATTGATTTAGGACATCAAGCATTTTCTTAAAAATTAAGTTCTCCCTGAAAACGTAGCAGGACAGGCAGCATCCACAAAGCATGATGGGAAAAAAATGCCAAAGGTTGAGCTAAAATAAAAAATGCCGAATGCTTAATGTCAGGGAGGAGGGGAAAGGGATCAGACAAGAGAAACGAAAGGAAAAGCGGGACAGCAGGGGAAGCAAGGCGGAGAGGCAAAATTAGAACAAGAGACACTGTTTATTAATAACCTTACTGACCCACAGGCCCCTGACACAAAATACATTAAGGATTCTTGGGACACTCTGGCCTGTCACTCACAGGAGGAGCCAATAAAATAGCACTGGAGACTGCAAACATTCTGATAAGAGATGAGGAAGGACAAGGTAATCAGAGTAAGGAGCGGCAGAGACTCAGAGCATTTAAATGCCCTGTGGTCCATGGTCCTTTTTCTTCCTTTCCAGCACCCTATCCAGGATGTTACCTACTATTGATAACTGCAGACAAGCCAGGAGGAGAAAGTACTATGCTCTGGGTTGCTCGAAGAATATGCATTTAGGGGAGAATGTTTAGAAATGATAGACACCATGATGAAATAGCCCCAAGTCACCTCTGATTCTGCCTCTTTGGTGTAGTTATTGCTAACACGTTGGTATATACAGCCTGAGCGTTTCCATCTGCTTTTTTCTTTCTTTTTATTTTTTTCTTAAGACCAGGTCTCAAGTAAGCCAGGATGGCCTTGAACTCACTACTTAGCTGGGAGTGACCTTGAACTTCCCAATCCTCCAACCTCCACTTCCCAAATGCTAGGAGTATCACTGTGCACCACCAACATCTAGTTTCCTTTTTATAAAAGTAAATTTGAATGTTTTTAAAACATAAGATCATTGAGGCTCTACTATATAGTCCATTGATCTATAAATGCTTTTTCTTTTTGGAAGCTGTAATAAATATTTGCCCATATTGTTAAAACGAATTTAAACATGTTTTATGCTGCTATTATATCCTTACAGGTAGGTCCTAGAATTCTTTGGGCAGTTATGCCATTTGACTGTGATGCTGGGACTGGATCTGGGCAGGGACTTATGGATGTTAGGAAAGCACTCTGTCACTAGGCTACATCCCAGCCCTATCATGCCATTTGTAAAATTTCAAGTGTTTCCATTTTTTTTCTGGATACATTGTTGCAAGTGAGACTCTTGGGTGAAAGTTTATCTTCCTTCCTTCCTTCTTTCCTTCCTTCCTCCTTCCCTCCGTTTCTTTCTTCCTTTCTTAATATTTGCAGAATTGCTCTCTGAAGTCGTATGCCTTCTTATCATTTCACAGTTATTAACGGGGATGCAGAATTCTCCAGATAGTGGTGGTAACCCAGGTTGGGCTGGAAATCAGTAGGTAGCTGAGGCTAGCGTTGAACTTTAAGCACCCCTCCTACATCAGTCTTGCATTGCTGGAGTTACAGTTGTGGACTGCCAGGCCCAGCTTTTCTTATATTTCTTGGTTACCTGCCTTGTTTTATACGTATGTAGTGATTTTTATGCACTAAAACATTATTATTTACTTAACTTTTGCTTGCCAGTTCTATGGAGTGATTTGCTGATTTTAAACTGCACATTTTAAAAAATGCAATATTGCATTTATTATTAATATCTGACATTAATACGTAATCTCAGTGCTCAGAAGGGTGAGGTAGGAAGGTTGCTCAGGGTTCAAGGCCAGTCTGGCAGATAGTCAGCTCCAGGTCCCAAAAAACTAACCAACTGATCATTTCAACCACTCAATCTTAAATTTATTAACCCATTCACTATCCAGTATTTGGGACACTGTTCTGTCTAAGCTTTTTAGCTGTTGACACGTCTATGTGCATTTGTGAATGCAGATGTCAACTGTTCTTCTCTCGTCTTTGCTGTTGGGGCTGACTAGGCTGTTTGTTGCAGGGTGAGGTCGTGCAGACCTGCTTTTTCTTCTAGTGCTTTTATAATGGACCCCCTATTTCTTTTTTTTTTTTTTCCTTTTCTTCTTTTTTGTAACCTTAGAGATCATTTAAGTATCTCAGTTCTCTGGAGTCTGTTTTGGTCCTTGCAGTGAGAATTCACTTAATAAAACTATTTCTCAATTCTGATCTAAGAGCTTTATGATAGTGACCTTCTTTCTGTTTCTCTGTATTTTATTTCTTTATCTTTTCTTCTTCACTTTGCCCCAATCCCCCCCCTTTTCATCATTTTAAGTATTTTCCATATCTGGTAAGCTTTCCCTCAATGAGCAGAAACTCTTACACCTCACTGAGTTCTCCAGGTGATGGGGGTGCATTTCTTTAAGCCCAGCACTTAGGAGGCAGAGGCAGGTGGACCTCTTGAGTTCAAGTCCAACCTGGTCTGCAGAGCTGGTTCCAAGACAGCCAGGGCTACACAGAGAAACCCTGTCTCAAAAAAAAAAAAAAAAAAAAAAAAAAAAACCAAATAAACAAAACAGACATTCCTAAATTTAAAACATGAGAGTATACACACTTGTATTAATTAATGTTGGGAATCTAAAGTTTCTAATTTTGAGTTACCTCATGCATTCTCATTTATCTTTTTATATGATTCTTTACATTTGGAGCTGCTTTTTCTTCTTCTTTTTCTTCTTCTTCTTCTTCTTCTTCTTCTTCTTCTTCTTCTTCTTCTTCTCTCCTCCTCCTCCTCCCTCTTCCTCTTCTTTTTTCCTCTTCTTCCTCTTCCTCTCCTTCTCCTTCTACTTCTTCCTCTTCCTCTCTTTCTCCCTCTCCTTCCTCTTCCCCTTCCTTTTCTTCTTCTATAGCCTCACATTCAGTGCTTTTCTGCATGCAATTTTTCTAAGATATTTTCTTACTGTTTTCTGGAAAAGGTTATTTGTTTATACATTCTTTTCTGTCATATTTGCAGTTTGACTGGTTTCTTACTCAAATAATTAGCTAATTTTGGTTCTTTTTGAGTTATCTAGATGGATGATATCATGACTCATAGACAAGAATTTTTCTGTGCCCCAGATTGCCTGAAAATGTAATTTCTATATTTCTTTTCTATTTTACTTTAAGGCAAGAACCTCCATGTTATTTAAAGTATTACTCACTGGAAGCGTCTCTAAGACTTTGCTAGCAAGAATGCAGACCCCAACACATCATGCTTTTGGTCAGCTCTTGTGTTTGGGTCCCCTCCTGTCCTCTACTTCACTGTAAATCTCCCTTCCTGAGCCTTCTGTTTGTTGGCTGTCACGTTAGATGCCTCCTGGGCCATTTTTCCAAATATTGAATAAGTGTGACCCTTTCTATGCTTGAGCGTTCTCTGTGCATGCAGACACCTCCTGCATGTATCATTGATTCTTCTTTTCATGCCCAACTACCCATTGTTCCCTGGCAGTAGAGCTCCCCTTTAATTCCCAGGCAGTGAAGATCTGAGCCGCCCTTGTTTTATTTCATGTGAAACCACCAGGCTATTTTCTGCCAGCTGAAAAGTTAGTGTCTTGCATAAGATTTTTATATTTTTCACATTTTTAAGGAAATGCTAAACTATTTTCTCACATAGAAATTATCATTTCATTTGAATTTGCTGACTTTTTGCCAGTGGGAAGTAAAAATAACGCGGAGTTCTGCATATGCCATGCGAAAAGAATTGGTTCCATAGGGTTTAGCCTGGTTAAAACAATACGTGAGAAGAGACTGAGGGGGAACAGTAATAGACTTCTACACCAACAATCTCTGATGAAGTTTGGGGTACCTTTGTTGAGGCAGACTGGCAGATGCCTCTGGAGTAGGCTAGGGTTAATGATGGTGAGGCCTTGAGCCTGTCACATTGTCACCCTCTGCCTGCATGTCTTCACCTACAAATTGTGAGACAATGCAAGAATTAGCGACAACTCGCACTAAGCGTTTAGTTTGACACATGTAGTAATGTAGTTGCTATCCTGACTATCAGATTGGAAGGCGGCATGTGGATACTATGTAAGAAAACAAATGGAAAATAAAGACCCTTCTCTCCCTAGAGCCAATCCCACATATATACTTAAGAGTTTTAGGACTTAGGCAACAGAAAGAGATGTAGTGGGGATGGACTTAAACTTCTGCCCAGCACAGGGGGAACTGTTAGTTTTCCTTCTCCTCTTCTGCCTATTGGTTTTCCTTGAACCTGACTTGCAATCGCACACTGTTGGAACAATCCTTTTGCGTGAGGAGACTCTGCTTTTCTCAGGAAATGTTGTATATTAAACCACTGTGCTCATGTGCCTGTCGTTTAAGAAACTTGTCAAGACTCCTTAATCTCACCAATTTGCCAGCCCAGGAAAACATCTGTAGTAGTACGAAACTTGGATATTAAAGAGAAAGGATACTCACAACTTTCTTCTATCTTTCCCCACACAGACTGAGATCTGTATATTTTTTAAAACATGGCAGGAGGTAACCGCATTATGATGGTTTAAAATCAATTATCTTTTACTTATATGTATTTTACCTTGTTTATTTTATCTGTCCTCTTTTCCCAGAGGGGTAGACTGGAGGTCCCCATTTGGTTTTTATTAGTGTAATCAGTTAATAGCTGTTGTGTAATGCTTTACTTATTGTGTTAATTTTCTGTATTTATGTCCAGAGGCAGCTTCCTGGAAGACCACATTAAAAAAACACTCCCCGCCCCCCACCAAAAAAAAGCCTACCCTCTTCTTTAACGGGTTTGGTTACCACTTATAGCTTCAGCTCAGATTATTGAGCGCCATTGGTCTACTAGGGTATTGAAAATGCAGATAGACTATAGCTATTATTCTAAATATACATCTGTGGTAAACCTGAACATTCTAGTCGCATGACAGCTCAATTGCAAACCCTAATGGTTGCAGTGACGTCAGTGCATCAGTTCCTTGAAGTCACTCAACCACATGCACATGTGTCTTATTTCTGGGGCTCAGGACATCAGTGTCCACTGCTGTTAGAAGTCTTCATGGGAAGGTACCCTGGGTGAGTTTTGGTATTTACAGGGCTAGTCCTCAATTGTAAACGGGGCATCAACAAAGACCACAGTGACCATGAACTTGTCTGAAGGAGAGCTCAGGAAATATTTGTCCTGTAAGCAGGAGATCAGGCCCTCCCATTACTTGAATCCTGAATTAAATAAGTCATCTCTGAAGTTAATGCCATGGGTTCTAGGTCTACCCAATATGGGAGCTAGTGGGACTGACTCTCCTGATGACAAGGAGCTCAAATGAGTACATCTGGCTGCGATTGCTCTGTGTAGTGGTCCGTGGGAAAGAACTTTTGACAGGTGATGGGATCTATATCAGATGCTACTTGCTCATTGTTTAGTCCCTGCAGATGGTTAGGCATTCACACAAAACAAGCTTTCATTAAGTCTTTAGAGTGGTCGAGCAGTCTTTATGTGATCTGCTGGGTTCTAAAACTGTTCCATGTTTTATTTTTATTTTAGAACATTTGTGCACACATAATGAGCTGCTTTGGGGTTGGGGCTCAAATCTAAAGGGGATCTTTGTTTTCTGTATACTTTGCAATAAATATTTACTGCAGCTGCATTTTGTTTGTGACTTGTCACATGAAATTAAGCGTAGCATTTTCCACTTGTGGCATCATGTCAGTGCTCAGAAAGGTTTGAGCTTTGGAGCAGTACAGACTCTAGATTTTGAGTTATAGTGATCTAACATGAAGTAAACCTGGGTTGAAGATAAAGCCGAAGTAAATTCTAATTTAAAAATCATGCTGATTACATATTTGTTAACTTGACACGAACTAGGGTCAATGTGTGAAGAATGAACATTAATTGGAAAAATGCTTCCATCATATGGCCTTGTAGACAAGTCTGTAGAGCATTTTTTTGATTAATGATTGATATGAGAGGGCCCAGCTCAACTGTCAGAGTTGGCACCTCTAGGCAAATGGTCCCAGGCTGTATAAAAATGGAAGCTGAGGGGCTGGAGAGATGCTCTGTCTGTTTAGTGAATTGTTGCCCTTGCAGAAGACCCAGGTTCAACTTCCGTCACTCATATGGTGCCTCAGTTGTCTTTAACTGCAATCTCAGGGCAATCAGTGTGCTCTAATGACCTTCAGAGATACCAGACACATTCTTGGTCTATGCCCAAACCTGCTGGTAAAGCAGCAAGTCAGTAAACAGTACCCCTCAGTGACCTCTGCTTCAGTTCCTGCCTCTAGGTTCCTGCCCTGAGTTCCTGTTTAGGTTTCTCTCAGTGATGGGTTGTGACTAGGACATGAGAAACAAGTAAAAGTTTTCATCCCAAGGTTGCTTTTGGTCATGGTGTTTTATCATAGCAATAAAAAGCAAACCAAGATAAGAACTGTTGTAAGTAATGTCTACAAGAGCAAAAGAGGGACCAAGGTACCACAAATCACAGGGAAGAGCTGTAGAACTTGGCAAGTTAGTCCTCTCTCAATCTTTTTTTTTTCTTTATTCACATGAAGGCCCTGGAGAAGATTTGCCAAAGAAACTTACTTCTAAGGAGGCCCGTGATCTCAGGAAAATGATCAGCAGATAAATCAACTCAAGAGATTCAGATGCTCTACAGTCTCCAGCATCCAGAGCAGGTAGATTATAGAACTGATGCCTGAATGAACGTCCCTGGGGGGAAGGTCTCAAGGTTGCTATGGGGATAGGTAGAAGGAAGAGGAAGGATGAGGAGATACATGCCAAAGTGTGGCTGGAATGTTCTGTGAGTAGGGAAATTCGACCTTTGGCCATTGACTGTTGTTAAGGGAGACGGTGAATGAAAGTTTGTGTTCAAATGTGCCCAGCAGAGCATGCCACCCAGAGTGGCTCTTTCCAACTTCTGTACGTGGTGGTGATGTTTGAGGAGGGAAAGAAAGATTTGTAAGGGAGAAAAGGAAGCACATATGAAACAAAAAGGAAGTCCTTTCAAATATTCCAAGGAAGAGTTGGAGAAACAATCCAAGTTCAACGAGAGGGAAGCTTAACTGTGATACATTTTCTTTCAAGAAGCAATTTTGGATATATTACTTCAAATGCTAAGCTACAAACTCAGTGGATAGACCTTGAATGCTTGGAGTTGTGTCTTGGGATTTCTCTTCCTTCAGTTGAAAAAAAATATTAAAATGATTTCCCAGCCGGGCAGTGGTGGCGCACACCTTTAATCCCAGCACTTGGGAGGCAGAGGCAGGCGGATCTCTGTAAGTTTGAGGCCAGCCTGGTCTACAAGAGCTAGTTTCAGGACAGGCACCAAAGCTACAGAGAAACCTTGTCTAAAAAAAAATGATTTTCTAGAAAACTTAATGGGTACAGCATTGGCTGGACAGCTCTCATAAAAACTATTGCAGCATAGAATCACTGAGATTAAGAACTAGGCTTAAAACATGGGGACACCTAGTAATATCAGTACCTAATTAAGAAATCTGTAGCATTGATTTAATGAAGAAAAGCTATCATGGTCCAACTGGAATTTTACTTCCCAATCGTTGTTGGAGACATTAGTGGGGAAGCATGTCCTACACAGACTTTGAAGTCATAGGACCAGTTCTCAAATTAAAATGGAGTTTCAAATCAGAGCATAGGAACAAACTAATTTACTTGAAGGGTAACAAAGGAGGTTCTTACCTAAAAATAAATGTGATAGAGTGCACTTCAATGTTAGGTGGCATTTCTTTCTAATTTTTTGAATCCTGAAATTGTTCATAATTCATATAGATATGAATGCCAGCCCCTTGAAGGTGAAAAATGGGTTTCATATTTTATTTTACATGCTCAATGTCTAACACCTGTTTCCTGGTGTGTAACAGATCCTTAACTGTTTTTTAAACAGCAGACTAATTATACTTTGTTAGAGTGTGTGTGTGTGTGTGTGTGTGTGTGTGTGTGTGGTATATGCATGTACAGGAGAAAAGGCCAAAAGAGGACACTGGACTCATGCTCTATCCTTTGAGACAGGGTCTCTCTCTGAACATGAGACTAGGCTGACAGTCATCAAGCCCCATCCATTCCCTCTCTGTCCCCCACAGCCCTGGGGCTACAGGCCCTCAGGCTTGGGGAGCAAGTCTCATCCTTACTGAGCTCTTGCTCCAGCTTCAAGTTGTCAGTTAGAAGAGGGTGTGATGTCTTGCTATGCACATCCTTCCAATAACTGGATGGTCTGGCCATTTGTGCACCAATAAGGAAGCCCTCCAGGGCCAGGCTGCATTTGGCCGATGTGAGGCTAATGCTGAGAAACGGAGAACCTTTAACTTGACATCACACTGTGAATTTCTTGTTCTGTTCGAGCTGTGTAAAGGTGTGGCCCTGTGATTCACAGATACCCGTGATAACAATGGCCAGGGACACAGGAGTAGCTGCTCTTAGCAGACGTGATGTTTCTTCACTGGTTGACACCTTTAGGAAGAGTGAAAGAAAGGTGAGCTAGGAATAATGGTGCATGCCTGCAACCTAAGCATAAGGAAGCCTGAGGCAGGAGGATTGGGAGGTTGAGGACAGCCTGGGTTAATAGTTTGAGGCTAGTCTGGGCTACACAGTGAGAATCTTCCTTTAAAAAATATTTTTATTTCAGGGCTTAAGGTCAGATCCCAGGTCCTAGGAACCCTAACAAACCAAGACCAACTATTTGTCCTCAATAGGCCGATTAGAGAGACAATCAATTTAGTAGTGAGATGCAGTAAAAGCAGATTTGCTTCTTGTCATACACTGAACAAATGTGTGGAGAATAACAAAGAGATGATCTCCCCAACTCCATCTTTGAGGGCCTTCCTGCCCTGGGGTTTAGGCTTAGATAGAAGGCAGAAGGTCTGCCTGACTGGTCCTGGACAAGATGTGGCTCTGCCCGTGATCACCACTTTGACTCCAGGTTCTATAAGGTGGTCTACAAAATAATCCAAAACATGTGAAACCTCATAGCTCCAGACTGGCGTCAGGGTCTTACTTACCTGCCTCGTCTATGGGACCACGCTGTGCTACTGTTTGAAACTGGAGTGTCTTCCAAAGGCCCGTGTTGTAGAGGGTTTGTCCTTCAGCTGATGTAGTTTTCGCGACGTCATGGGACAGTTAAGAGGTGGAATGTACCAGAAGGAAGGTAGGTCATTTAGAGGCTTGCCTTGGAAGAGGATACTCGGACCCCGTATCTCTCTGTTTTGGGTGCCGTTTGTGTGTTTTTCCTCTGCCACATCTTCCCACCATGATGTTCTCTGGCATCAAAAGCCCAGAACAACAAGATTCCATCCTGATGGGCAGAAGCCACTGTCACTTTAAGCCAGAAGAAACTAGTCTTTCTTCAAAGTTAATTTTTCAATATTTAAAATATTAATTTATTAAATTAATTTTTTAGAGTAGGGAAACACCAAGTAATGGGGGCCCTCAGGATTAGAAGACAGTGTCGGGTGTGTTCTGTTGACCTCAACAAGCTCAAAATCTAAACACGAGCTTAAGCATCTCTTCCAGCCCAGCATAAAGAGAAAGCACGACCCTAGACGTGGCGGGAACGGAGTGTGCTCATTCCTCTGAGTTCCCTGTGGCTCCAGTGGGGATTGAGCAGGCTCCCAGCACTAAATAACCCTAATGATATCAGGTAGGGGCTCACTGGGGAGCTGTTGGAGAGTTTGTCAGAGCATATTAAAATACAATACATCCCCATAATCCAAAATGGAACATCAGTCCATCTGCCTGTACATTCCTTTCTGATATTAAATTAGTCTGGTGGCTTTTCAAAATTCCATCATCTACTCAGGGCCCCACGTCTTTAGTGACGGAACTGCGGTGGGAAGGGAGAGGGAAGTCAGCATAGTGCACACTGGTGGAAGTTCCCTAATTGAAATCATTATTGCTTCAGACACCATTGCTTTAATCAGCAGAATCATAAATCAATGCTTCTCACATGTGAAGGTTGAAAAATAAAGTGATGTTAAACAAATTGGTCCCCTTAAAAGGCATGATGCCATTGGAAACCACTGGAAATGGATAAAAAAAAAAAAGTGCCTTCTGAAGGGAAACATCGCTCTACCATTTTATCTCCCACTTAATTAAAAAAAATATATTACCTGGTCCTTTCTTAGAAATTACATATTGGAGGTCTATAATGGCCGAGCCTTTAACCCATTAAAAAAAAATTCACTCCCAGGAACAGTTAATATTTGACGTCTAATTGCTTTTACTTGTTAGAGAGGAAAATATGTATCTTTCCTTCCTTTCTTGATGGACTTTTTTCAAAAATCGCCGTGTGAGCTATGAAGATGGAGAGGAGAAATCGATCTCAAGAAAGGCGCAGTACAGATAAATATGTAAATGCATACACATATAGATAGACACAGCATCTCCTGCGAGGGGACCTTGGGTTTCTCTCAGCACAAGTGTGGTAGGTAGGTACTGCTATCTCTAGCTAATGGATCGGGTGCAGAGGGATAGAGAGCCTGGGCATTTGCACAGGGTTACCTAGATAGCAAAGCATGGGCATCCTTTTTCCTTCCACCACGACCAAGTTCAGTGCTTCCAGACATACTTTTTGGTAGGTATAAAGAGATCAGTGGAGCCAGGACAGAATTCCATGCCGGAGCACCTAATTCTCACAAGCTCTTAGCCAGCCTCCTGATTCTGGGACTTTACCACGTCATCTACAAAAACCTAATTAGGACTTAGGACCTTTCTGCAAGTCCTTCATGGTGATGGACCTAAAGGAGCCACCGAATGAACTATGTCACCCATATCAACCTGGAAGAGCCTCTAATCAGAGTTGTCCGTCCATGAGCAGGAAGGCTGGGCTTCATCTAGAACAACGCCTTGCACCAACTTTGTGTGAGCGTTCAGGCCTCACTGTAGCAGGGTAGTGGTGGACAGAGGAGGGAGACACCATTTATTTGATTTTCAGATGTCGGAAGATTTCTGCTTCTGCACGCTCCAGCTTTCCTCCTTTTCCAGGCAATAAATTCAGCACCAAAGACCAAAGTGCTTTTGCTTTCTCTTCTTTCTCTGATGCCTTCCCGCAAAGCCGGGTATTAATGACGGCCCTTGAAAAACTGCACAAAGCAACCGCTTCTCCAGATTATCCCTTCGGAGCTCAGGTGATAGGCCTCATCGGGTTTCACCCTCTGCGGCTTGTGGTCACATAAGGGCTGTGCCTCTTACACCTCCCAGGAAAATATTTGTGTGTTGGTCTCACCCGGTTCCATTTCTCCTAGGACCGGCGCTGTTTGCTCCACCTTCATGTTGTTGGCTAACAGTGGACTTAACAGACTTACCAGGGGAAGACTGCTCTTCTGATTGGAGGCTAGGAGGCGGCCCTTCCCTTCTCTGACGTCATTCTGCCAGAATGGATAAGGTTAGCAACTTTATGGAAAGGGGGAAGGAGGGAGGGAGATGGAAAGAAACAAAGCGATGGTGGAGAGGGAGGGGGAGGGAGGGAGAAGGAGAGAAGGGGGAGGATAGAATACCCTTCAGCCAGAGGCCAGGGAAAGTAGTTGTCAGGTTTTCTCTTCTATACCCTCCTTCTAAAGCTGCAGCCATCTTTCTGCCCCTTCCACCCCCAGCCCTGGGCAAGGATTACAGGCTGCAAAAGCCATGCCTGGGATCCGAACTGAGGACCTCCTGCTTGCTCAGCTGGCATTCTTACGCACTGAGCCAACCTCCCCGCAACTCCTGAGCTGTTTCTGAGAGGGGTATTGTGAGACAGCTCCAGGAAGGAACATGGCTTAGGGTGTGAGAAGAGAAATCTGAGCAATGTACATGCTCGTTGCCATAGACGGAAAACACACAGAAGCCAACATGCACTTAAAAAAAAAAGTCTATGTATTTGCTTTCTTCTTCCTTTTTTTCTTTGACATTTTTATCCCCCTCTTGCTTATCAATTTTAATTCTCACTGCTTACTGAAGAGTAGTGACAGGGATGTGCCCATATTGCTGTTGTAGGGACCATTGGCAAAACCCAAGAACAGCACTAACAAACAAATACATCCCTTCCTCCTCTCTGTCTCTCAGTGTCTTGCGCTCTCTCTCTCTCTCTCTCTCTCTCTCTCTCTCTCTCTCTCTCTCTCTCTCTCTCTCTCTCTCTCTCTCTCTCACTCTCTGTGTCTTGCTCTCTCTCTCTCACGCTCTGTGTGTGTGTGTATGTATTGCTCTGGCCTCAAACAGTATGTAGCCAAGGACTACCTAACCTTTGGATTCTCACGCCTCCACCACTGAGTACCAGGGTTGCACGAGCGTACTGCCATGTTTAATCTACCAAGGGTGGCGAATGAACCCAGGAGTTTACGCATGCTAGACAAGCAATTCATAAACTTGAGCTACACCCCCCAGCTCTTGAATCTTTAAAAAATGATTTTGAGGCTGCCTATAATCTTATAACAGTAAGATTATGTAATAATCCCATGAAAAAGTAAACAGGAAAGCTCATATCCAGGGAAAACAAGCCAACTTGTAAGGGCTTATCTGTAACTAATTAACAAAACGTCCAGCAGCTATGAGCAGCAAGGCTTCAGTGTTTAAAGCCTTTCCTCTGGGTGAGATGTAGGCACTATGTGAACACTCTTCAGCTCGCAGATTCTAATTGATAATCTGCCAGTTAAAGGGAGGCCCAAAGAAACAAGTCTTACATGGCAGGTCCGAAGGTCTCCGTAGAGACAGCATCTAGATCCGTTTGAGACTTTTCTTTTGGACGGGGGCCTAGAACAGTGGTTTTTCAAATTGACTCTGTGTGAGAACATATCTGAAAACATGAATGGAATTTGTGGCCCTGGTCCCCAGAGAAACACATACATCAACAACATCTTTGGTGTATATATTTACTTTAAGATTCATTGATGGTTTGGTTTGGGGGTTTTTCAGTTGAAATTCCCTTTCAGTTTTGCCAGCAGCAAGTTTCTGGTGTGTGTGTGTGTGTGTGTGTGTGTGTGTGTGTGAGAGAGAGAGAGAGAGAGAGAGAGAGAGAGAGAGAGAGAGGCAGAAAAAGACAGAGACAGTTTAGTGGGGCCCTTTTCCTAATGCTTTAAGCATAGACAGTTCCGACAGAATGCATTTTACTCTTTGAAGACTGAAGGCTGTAAAGGAATAAATGATACAGTTTCAGTATTTTTAAATACAGCATGCTTTTAAGCCCTATTTATTTATGTGTCACACTCCCACACACACGCACACACACGCAGAGACACACACACGTGCTAAAGTGTCACGCGGTAGTCAAAGGACAACTTTCAGGAGTCAGTTCAATCCCGTGGGTCCACGGGGTCAAACTCTGATCATCAGGCCTGGTGGCAAACACCTGTACCTGGCGCGCTACCTCTCTGGCCCTTCAGTATTTTGTTTAGTACAGTGCGGTGTTTAGGTGGACCCTCGGATTCCGATGCGTTGTGAAATCCTGCCGTCAGGTTTTCAGCGGGAGAGTGACAGAATGATCAGAGGTTGCGCCTGGTGGCGGAATGGAACACTGACAGACAAACGTTTGTCAGGGTGCGTGGACGGTATTAAGACTTGCTCTTCTTGGCACACCTTCAGAAAAGTAGCTTTGCCCAGTGCCTACGTCACAGGTGCACATGTGTAAGACATACAAGTTTTAAATGACATAAAAACGGGGCGGATGCCCACGTGTGAGGCTGTCTGAGGGTTCTGAGGCACAAGGTTTTGGAAGCATGCTGCCAGCCTCCTGGCTTTCTACTCATGCCGCTAATGAGATTATAGCCACCCCATGACTTCATCTCGCGAAATAATTTCATCATCTGGAAGACGGAAATTATTTTTACTATTTCCACTTTCTGAAATTGAAAAAAAAAAAAAAACAACTCAGGTGCAGATCCCTAAAGACTCTGAGTGTTCTTTCTATGTCGTTTTTAGAGGTCACCTGGCTGTCGTCGTCTACCCCAAAATCCTCCCCCTCAGCAGGGCTCTCTGCCTCTATTACAGAAGACGGCAAAAATATGAGCATTCATGCATCTGGTCAATTACCCAATGCTGCACCAACAGGGGAAATTCCTTCCCCACTTCAGCTGGTGCACAGTTATGCCCCGGAGCCCAGGACGGACATGCCTTGTAACTTTTTAACCTAGTTAGTGTAACTGCCAATATTATTCCCGTTCATATAAACGTCTAATTCTTTCTTGACTCTTGCTAGACTATTTTCCTCAATGATATCCTGCGGCAGTGAATTCCGAAGGTGCATTATACGCTGCTTTAAAAATATTTCCTTCACTCGTTTTAAATTTGTTGCCTTTTAACATCGCGACTTGGCCGGAGCTCTTGCCTTAAGTGACACAGGACAAAGACAAAGCTTTACTTCTCCCCAAGAACTTTCATAATTATTAGCAAAACCTTGTGTCCTCTCACTATTTTCTTTTTTTTTTTCCACTTATAATAGTAAGTGAGGTGATTTGACTAAATGGTTTTATGCTACTCGGGACACATAGCAGGCACTGGCCCAAACGCTTTCCTTGATACTCGATGTGATTTATTAGATAAATATTTACCCAGTACCTATTTGTGTAGGAACTGTTTCAATTTTGGAGAGCAGCTTGGAATAAGACTAGGCCATTGTTCAGCAGGACCTGACCCTCATCCCCACAACCAGCCCCGATTTCTTGCCGTGTCTTTCTCTAAAATCTGTAGCACCCTAATTATTTACAGGGCATTTACATTGTATTAAGTATCACAAGTGATCTACAAATGATTAACGTGCATGCAAGCATATGCATAAATTATTTCACGTTCCTCATCATGCAGTAGAAGGGACCTGAGCATCGTGAGATCACACGGTACCTGGGTGAGGAAGTGTTTTCTCTGCAGAAGGGGGTAGCTGGGCACAACCACCTGTGAGTCATTTGTGTGGTATCTCGTGAAGAGGAGTTAGTGCCCAGAGGTAGCTCTGTCTTTATTATTTGTTGAGTATGCGCATGAATCAAGGGTAAGAAAGGTCATCTTAGTGACAAAGATCTCCTAGGGAGGGACCCACTAGACCTGGGAAGAACAATTCTCCAATGTTGGTGTTGGGGTAGATGAATTAGGAGATTTAGCCAGTGAGAGTCCAGGGATACCTGGTGGTGCTTTGTCTAGGCAGCAGGGTGACCTTGGGCAGGTCACCTGACTGCTCTCACCCAAAGGATTCTTCACCAAAAATAGAAAGTTTTCTTCTTCCTTAGGTGCTATTATCTGGAAGTTCTTAATATACTGCCAAATGGCACAAATTCTGTAGAACTTTGGGTTTTTTTTTTTTTTAATTTTGTTTCTTGATACTGTCTTGTATGGTCCATACTGGCCTCAGATTTCGCTAAAATAGCAGGGGATGACCTTGAACTTCTGATCCCCAGGAATCTGTTCCTCCCGTACTGGGATTATAGGTGTGTACCACCACGTTTATTTCTGCAGCGATGGGGCTTGAACCCAGGACTCGGTGCCTTCTGGGCATACACATTCCCAACTTTTCCCAACTAAGCTATATCCTGTTCCTCCAGGATCTGGTTATTGTCACAATTGGCGGTTCTTACTCAGAACTGACTGCAGGCCTGTGCCATTAGCCACACCCACAGCAGCAGCAACTATGGGGTCTTTCGTTCTTCCTTTTCTCCCTTCCTTGTTTCCCCAGTTCCTTATTCTATTCCTTCCTCTACTGAAAATCCACCATCCTGGCCATTGCCTCCCTTAGAACCAGCTTACAGCCTGGTGGACTCATCTTCCTGAGATCCTTTTCTACTTCCTAAGGGTTTCTTACTTGTTGATAAAGCAGACTGGAGGGAGATTTCAAATAGGGATTGTTTACTGCTTAATCTTCCGGGGTCAAGTTATCCAAACTTATACATATAAAGGCAGAATCCTTGCCTGGATTTCCAAGCAAACACTTCCCTAGAAACCAGACTTTGACCCAATTACCTGTTTTCACCTTGCCCGCCACTGCATTCCAGTATGGGGAGCACATACCATTTTCTTATGTAGCCTCTCGGATTATTTTTAATTGATCCTTACTATACCCCCCCCCCCCACACACACTGAGACAATTTGAAGTAGAGTCATGCACATCCCTGCATAACCATGTATTTTAAAAAGCATCTCAATAAATTATTAGGATTATTTACACGCATGGTTCGAATTTACTGGCAAATGGCTTGGGCCTTCGTTTTAGGATGTAGCTGCTGGCCAGGCTCCTTCTGGGTGAAAATCTGAAATAGGAGACGTTGCCTTTTGCTGTCCCTCACTGGCACTTCCTCTGCCTGGTTCCTGGTCTTTCAACACTTCCCTCCTTTCCCGGGCCCTGAATAACTCGGAGGGGCTGTCAAGCCCTTTGCACCTTCATGTGAGGACGTTTCATGGGTCCCTTCCCAGATCTGCCCCTAACCAAGGTGAGATGTGCAAAGAAATAAATCTTCAATGGTATAATTTTAGATGCTCTGGCAGCTGGAGAGGGCAGCTATTTCGGGCTGCAGGGCTTTCTCCTTGACCTGAAGTGACACAGATTTGCCTGTTGCTAGCGTAGCCGGCCAACCCTGCAGAGAGTCCTTTTAGCATCATGGTTGCGGTTCCCGAGATGGCTGCTTCGTTCCTCTACCGAGGTCTGTGTTCATCCAGAATTCTGTGTTCTTGTACGTGAGTCCATTGGCAGGGGCCACGGAGGTTTATGGGAGCACAACACTCCAGCACACCCTCTGCAGGAAGTATTGATGGCGCAGACTCCCCTCCACGCAGAAGATGGAGGAAAATTGATGGTCCAGTTTCTGGGTGTCCTTTAGCCTCCAGCCTTTATCAGCAGCTTGGCCGCCATTGTGTGAGTCACTCCCATTCGGAGCCAGGCAGGTCTCCAGACCACAGTGTCTGCGCCTCGCCACCTACGCTGGCTGGCTGGAAGCTGTGTTTTCATGACGGCTCTTCTGACCACCCTGCTTGCGCTCTTCCTTAGGTTCCCGATGCAGCTGCTATCTGTAGACCTCCTGGACTGAGCAAGGAAGGGAGTGGGAGCTCCTGCTGCAGATGGGCGGAACAGTGACAAGGAGGACCGAAGGTGGCCAAAAATAACAGGGCCTTCCAGATGAGGCGACCTCAGAGCCAAGAGCATCATGGGGTAGAGTATCTTGTTCCTAGTTTTATGGCCTAAAAAGTACACAGAAGATTCAAAGATATGACAGAGAGGAGGAATAAAGTCTGCAAAGAACAAGGAAATGTGACTAGCTATCATGCTTTTTTAAAACTGAGTTTCTCTGTGCACACATATACACAAGAAAACACGGGCCTTTTATACATATATGAAGAGAGACCTAGATCCCTAGAAAGATGGACGGATGGATAGATAGAAATATTACAGATAGACAGAATAGAATACAACAGAAGACCAAAAGGGAGAAAAAAGATAAAGGTAATGTTGCCTTCCGTTGTTTGTCGTTGAAATAAATTTAATAAATCTTCATTGAGAACCAAGTATGTCTGGTCCTTTCTGCACAGTTCTTCATCCTAAAACTCACCACTGTAAAAACACAGCCACCGCCGTGTCCTGATCGGTCATGGTTCTGAGCATCCATGGAGATGAGCTGAGCGCTCTCAAAGGCTTTTGTGAGCTTGAGGCTGGCAGGTAGCAGAGGCTGATTTTTTATAAGGCTTTTTGTCGCACTTCCGGAACTTGATGCTGTCTGGGGGCGGGGATGTCTGAGCCAGGTCATTCCGTGTGCAGCCTGAGCCTCATCACCAGCTCCTCGCTTGGTTTCTTGCAGCTGATCAGTGCTCTAAAGCTGGCTGTCCCGAGATGCAATCTTTTGCCTTTGGTGCAGCTGAGTCACGTGTTCTGTTGGCTCAGCAGTCACAAGGTCAGCTCAGGGTCAGGAGGTGGGACTCAGGGATGTTTCTCTGGAGTTCCAAAGTGTTACAGCACTTGTTAACATCTTAATACTTTAAGATATCTTGCCAAGATGTCAGCTGCTTCCAACTCTAAAGAGGAGTATATATCTAGCTGGGGCTGTAAAAGACCAGTAAAGGACTGGGAAGGTACCTCAGTAGTACAGCGAGTACTGGCCCAACGTGAGAGACCCTAGCACTGCAAAGAGACAAAAAAGTAATCAAGTGTGTGTTCAATGGAAACAAATAAAATATACCCTGGCCAGGGCTGTGGGGCAACAGATGAGCGTATACAAGGTAGAAGACGATTCCTGGAAGAGCTGGGTGTTGTGGGGCACACCTATAATCCCAGTGGTGTGTGTGTGTGTGTGTGTGTGTGTGTCTAAGGCAGGAAAAGCTCTGAGTCTGAGGCCAGCCTGGGCCATAGATAGCAGGACTCTGACTCAGCAAATAAAAAGCAACAAACAGAAACCCACAAACTTTGCATACATAGAGGTCACAGGCAGAAAGCCAAAAAGTGAAGCCTGCGGCCACCACCTACTGCCTTTGGAGAGACTTGAAGGCCAGCTGAAGGGCACAGGGGCATAGTGGCTAGCATCTTTAAGGTCTACAGTGGGTGTTCTTGCTCAGGCCTACGTGCTTGCTTGCGGTCACGCTCCTGTTTGCTACCTGCCTTCTCCTGCCCTGCTTACCTGGGTCTCACCAGCTCTGCTCGCTGTTGACTGCATTATTGTAAACCTCGACCCCCTCCCTGAGTGTCCTGAAGAGGAGAATCTGTCCTTTATGTGGAGGAAGGACTAGGCTTCTGTCACATTCTCTACATAGTGAGCATCGCCCTGCCCTTTCAAGTCTCATTCCTCAAGCTCATTGCTTGCAATACCTGTTTGGATTTGCTTCCCCCCCTTAATGGCCCCTGTCTCTTGTCCTCTAGAATCCTGTCTTGTTTTGCACGTCTCACGCTTCTCCTTTCTGCTCTGGTCTGTCTTAACCTAGCAGCTAGTGGCCTGCCAATCACAGGACGTCATGCCCCGGTTTGCAGTGCCCAGAATCTCCTCCAGGTTCGGCTTTGACATCCTCCTGCAGAGGGCTTACTCCAGTCTCAGGACTTTCAGGTGAGGCTCGCTGTTCTGTATTTGGTGTGCATTTCCTCCATCCCGTCATCACTAAAAGCATTTTCCATCTGGAACTTTAGTCTCTAAATACTAACCGGGATGGGATTCGTCTTTAATCCTAACAGAGGCTGTGTTTCTTTTCTCTTAGTACAAAGCCACGTCTATCCACTGTGGAAAATTTAGGACACACAGAAAAGCAAATATGATATTTATATATATCGTTACTACCCTTTGATGTGGGGCCCTTTCAACAATCCCCTCTCCTTATGATGATTTTTATAGACAAAACCCAGCACCTCTTAGATGGGAAATACTTTCTCCGGTGTCACTTGCTGGCTTGCAGAACCAGTTCTATGGAACGTCAGTGCCAGGCCCCAGCTGATTGGAATAGGGCTGGTTATCTGGCCCTGGCTGGGTGTGTGCCTGCTCTTTCCTTGAGATTAAATCAGCTAGTATCTGAGACTGGACCTGTAATAGCTCACGGAGGAAGGATTAGTCACTGTGCCTGGAAACTTAAGGCTTTGCTGGGGAAGGTGGTTTGCAGGAGAGAATGGAGGAGACAGAGAGACACCGAGGAAAAGGAGCAAGGATTCCTTACACCTGGAACCAATGTTCGCAGTGACTTTTCTCAAGTGGCCTTGTGTCCTTATCTCGCCTCTGTCCTTGAGCAGAGTCTTCAGGATTCTGGTATTTCCACCTAACAAGCCTGCTCAAGACTGTTGCTTTTTGTAAACGGCCTTTGTAATGAATAGAATGCTAGAATTATCCATATATCATCCAGATTATAATTTTCAGTGTGGAAGGACAAGTGCTGTGAATTCCTGATATTTCTGGGGGGACGTGCATCTAATATGAGCATCTTGAGCTCTGGTGTTCACATGTCCCTCCTCATCTCCTTTGCTCTGTCATTTGGATGTATTCCATGCTGTATTACATGTCTTAGTATTTTCATCTGTAAAATGGCAAAGCACAAGGCTAAATTATACACGGACTCTTAAAAGTTCCTAGACTTAAACTTGAAATATAGCAGAGGATGATCCTAAACTGAGTCTCCTGCTTCCATCACTCACATGCTGGGTGATCCGGTTCCTCTACCATTCTTCCTAAAAATGGACCAGTTCTCTATCAAGAATCCTCATATTTTTACCATGATAAACCCAACTATAAGAACACTTCCAGTTGAAATACTGGACCATGAGTGTGAAAAGTGCATATCTGTGGGCCACAGTAGTGGTTCAAATAGGAATGGCCCCAGAGACTCATGCCTTTGAATACTTGACCCATAGGCAGTGGCACTGTTTGGAGGTGTGTCCTTGTTGGAGGAAGTGTGTCACTAGGGGGCTGGCTTTGAGGTCTTAAATAGTCAAACCAAGTCTAGTGTGACATCCACTTCCTGCTTCCTGCCCATCGGAGGTACAACTCTCAGCTCCTTCTCCAGCGCCACATCTGTCTACGTGCCACCATGCTTCCTGCTGTAATGACAATGGTCTAAACGTCTGAAACTGTAAGCCAGCCCCCATTAAGTGTTTTCCTTTATAAGAGTTGCCATGGTCATGGTATTTTTTCACAGTAATAAAAAAAAATAAAAACCCTGACTAAGACAGCCGCCGTCAATCATGCAGCCTGTGGCCTCCTTGAAGCGCCCCCACCCCCACCCCAAGTCTTTGCCATCCTTATATTTACCCTTCTTGTGACTTTAGAGACAGTGTATTTCCTTCCCTGTCTGTGGTGTGATCTATACCCAACTTCCAACAAAATGAAAATACTGTCACGTCTGACTTTTTCAAATGAAATTTAAAACTAGTGAAAACACTTCCATGTCAGGAATAGAGCAGGCTGAAAGATAAACAAGGTCTATGGATTAGCTTTCCATTTGGAGGTAACTCCCAGGTGACTAACCGCAGAGCGGGCTTTGCAGCCACTGTGTGAAAAATTCCCAATGGTTCTAAGGATGTCCGATGTTGGCTGTGTTTTGATGATCTCTATAAACTTTTTAGATTTTATAAAATGTTCTGAGTAGGGGCTGGAGAGATGGCTCAGCGGTTAAGAGCATTGCCTGCTCTTCCAAAGGTTCTGAGTTCAATTCCCAGCAACCACATGGTGGCTCACAACCATCTGTAATGAGGTCTGGTGCCCTCTTCTGGCCTGAAGACATATACATAGACAGAATATTGTATACATAATAAATAAATATTTTAAAAAAAAATAAAAAAAATAAAATGTTCTGAGTAATAGGACCACTGAGAACACAAACATTTTTGCTCTTTGTTGTGTCTTTGCTGTGCCTTCGTTGTGTGCTGTAGACCATGGGAGAACACGGTTATGGGCCTGAGTGAGCTGCCTTAATGTCTTTTGTTTGTTTATGCTTGTTTTTTTTATTTTTTAAGCACACTATTTCATTGTGCAGCCTGGAACTAGCTGCATACTCCCAGACTCTCAGACATCTGCCTGCCTCTGTCTATCAGTGCTGGGATTAAAGGTGTGCACCACCATTCCTTGTCTGCGGGCTGATTCTTGAAGCCCACACTGCATTAGGCACTCAGGGAAAGGAAAAGACTTCCTGAATGGTCCTGATCTTCAAGGAGGAGAGTGGATTGGGGAAGCAGAGGTACAAACAACGACAGGCAACAGGAATCATACCAGGATGGGGCCGTGTATCTTTTTAAATTCATTTTACATACCAACCACAGTTTTCTCCTCCCCTCCTCCCACTCTTCTCCCCACTTCCCCCCACCCCACCCCTTGTAACTCCCAGAAAGTGTAAGGTCTCCCAGGGGATGTCAATGAAGCCTGGCACGTCAAGTTGAGACAGGACCAAGCCCCTCCCCTCTGCATCAAGACTGAGCAAGGCATCCTACCATAGGGACTGTGTGAGCAGCAACCACACAGCTTAGGAAAGAAGCCTCTGTTCTTGGACAAGGTATCTGAGAAAGCTCAGTAGGTTCTTCCAGAAAGGAGGCAGGTAGGGTAAGGGGGAATTGGAAAGGCATGGAGTTAAACACAGAGGGACCCTTGAACAGCAGGAAGGAGATGAAGACAGCATGGACATTTACTGGCTGACGGATAGGATAACAGCCATGAATCTTTCCCAAGACTCGTGTTATACACACTGTATGGATGTGTGCAGGACCACAGGCGACATAAGAGAGACAATGCAGGCGGGAGAAATGGGTCCAGAGACCGCCGGCAGCCATTACATGAGAAAGCTGAAAGGGAATACCAGGTTTTGTAACTGCAGAGCTTACAGCCCCCGCCATTAGGAAGCTGTGCAAAGGGGGCTTCAGGGCAGTTCCCAAGGCACGTTTGGAGCAGCACTGGGAGCCACGAGAGGGATGATGGAATAGCAGATACCTTGGCGGCAGCTGTCATGGCCGTGCCAGAGAACAGGTGGTCCTCCCCAAGGTAGCCTCAATGCTCATTTGGAGGAGGGGCTTGAAGTGGGAAACCCTGGTATCAGGGACCGGTGACTTTCCATGGCGCTTTCTAGCCACAGGGTTTTCTCCTCCTTCCTTGAATTCCTGGATACTTTGTGCTTCTTTCCCAGGGCCTGCTGTGCTATGCACCTTAACAGCTGCTTGCAATGTCTTGTATCTAGCATATTTTAAATTACTTAGGGGCAGGAGGCCTTATGCTTTATTCACTCAAGTGTATGTGTATATATACATATATGTTATATATGTTTATATATGTGTGTATATATATATATATGTTATGAATGGCATTGTTGAATCCAGTGCTTTGGTAAATGAATACATTTCAAAATTATTCATTTCCAGATCATTCCTCCATGAAGTTTGGGAGTTACTGGCAAGCTAGATACCTTTTCTTTCAAACTATGAAAATAATTTCCTTAAATAATCTACTTGAAACTACTTTGACATGTAAGGAAAAGAAAGACCGGAAGTTGTTTTGAAACGGCAAAGCTTTTAAGAGTCAATGTCACATTTATTGCTATAAAATATTTTTCTCTCTCTGTTAGACATCTGGATCCCATTACATACAGTATTGGGTACTTGAGTTCGCCAGCCATTTTGCATACTAAGCAGGGTGCACACAAAGTCCCCACAGACATCCACCCCTACTCATTTGCACCGTGTAATTCTTACTTCACGTTTACAGATGACTCTTCTGTCACCAACTCAGGCCTTCCTGTTACACTTTTGAAGTTCCCTTCTCCTCACTTGCTTTTAAGGACCAAGTGGTGTGTGGACACGGCCAAGGACAAAGTGCTTCCAAAACACAAAACACGATCCTTTTGCTTTCGGTCTTGTACGGTCCGGCTATCTATAATCTCGTACTGAAGTCAAGGAAACAGCAAAAATCTTAAGTCTGTATTTACCAGTAACATTGACCCAGAAATTAGAAACACAATAAGGAATGTTGGCTAATGAGTCCTGAATTTTCTTCTAATTGTTTCCACATTCAAGGATAGTTCCCTTAAACCGTGTAATCTGGACATATCCTGAAACAATCCCATGTGTTGTAAATGATTTTGTTTTATTTCTTGGGTTACTGTTAAGGGCTTATTTTCTGGTTCATTTCATTTTCTTAAAGAAAACCACACACTCATTGCGCGTATGAACATGCAACAAGGGGAACATGCATGCTCCCGTGGTTTTTTTTTTTTTTTTTTTTTTTTTTTGGCCCCAGCCTCTGTATTTTCAAACTAAAATAATTATGAGGCAAAGAGAAGAGGCTTCATCATTTGGTCTGGAAATCAAAATAATCACACGAATGGGGACTGTTTTAGGGTTCCTATTCGTGTCTGTGAGAATGAAAGTCAGCATGGAGCAATGTGTCCACCGGCAGCCGTCTGTCCCCTCGCTAGGCTTGAGAATCCGTAATGGGAGAGACAGATACAACCAGCATTCAGTACAGTAATAATGGAAAATTAAATACGACTTTTAAAAACTGCTCCCATTATAAAGTGATCTATTAGCATTATGTGACTGGAGCACTTAACGTGACTGATTCTAATTGCAAGACTTGGCCCATAGCAA